AATGAATGAAGAAATTGATCATCATTTAGAGATGTAGGAAACAAATGCTATGTTACTTTAATAATTTGAAAAAGATACTGAATTATAAGATTAAGGAACTCCAAATAAATATTCTGATCATTCAGATCCCCCTTCACCCACTAAAAAATCTAAGAAGAAGGAAAGAATTGTAGAAAAGTTATTAGAAAATAGATCAAAATTTAATGACAGGACAGCATTGTTTAATTTAATAAATTCTTTACAATTGGTAAAGGCTTTTTCTAAGAATTTAGGTTATAACTCTATACAATCTTAGTTCAATTATTAATATAGAAGGTTAAACAAATTTAAAATTTTATGATACTACTCAGATTTATAGCTTTTATGTATGGAATAAATAAGGATTTACAGTTTATTATTTGATTATTATTTTGATTATGGTTCATATTTTGAAATTGTTAACATGTTTGGTGGGTAACAATAAAATTTATTAAATTTAGGTTATTTTTGTGTTGTACAAAAGAGTGAATAATTGTTAACAATTTTTATGATGTTAACTTTCACTTGTGTGATCACTAGAGGAATAATAACTATATTATTATTAATCGATTATAATTAAATAGAACTTACATAATCATATATATATGGATATTCTGATAAAGTAGCATAATCCTAAGCAGTATAATTTACAATAGTATTGATTGTTTTTGTTGCAGTGGAAATTATAATGGGTTTGTAGAGTCTTTTGTTGGCAGGCTAAGCTAAGAAAAAATATAAATGTAAATTAATTCAATATAAATTAAGCTATGCGAATAAACGAAAAGAAAATAGCTGCTCATTATTCAATAGCATATTAAATTATGTTAAGGTAATTTGTAATTTGATTTGTTGTATAATAAATATCGATATTATGTGTATAAAAATATTGTATGATATGGCATTTATAAAATAATAAAATAAAATTATATTATTATAAGCTTTTACTTATAATATATATATGAAAATTTAGTATTAAATAATTATGATATAGAAAATAATTTGAAATAAATATATATATTATAATTATTCAATATCACTTATTTTGAATTTAAATATTAGATTAAGTATCCTTATTTTAACATTTTATTTATTATGATGATGTAATTTCAAACTCTTAATTATAATTTATATTGAATGTATTATTGAATTGAAGAAATATTTTAGGTAAACTGATTAAAAGTTTAAAAAAATCAGTAGGAATATAATAATTTATAAAATGGGAATTTGTGGAGGTACAAAAAAATAACCTGAAGATTAGATTCATAAATTGAATCAACCAATCATAACTAGTGGAGAATTGTCGATAAAAGTGCTATTGAAGAATATCAAGTTAAAGATGCCAGATATATAATAATGTTCTATAGAATTCGATTTAGGAAAATGTAAGTATACATCTCCTGTGCATGTTAATAATGAAGGAGAACATTATGTATTTATTATTTGATAGAAGTAATTAAGTGGCGAGCAAGTTTTGATGGCTTACTTAAAATGACTGAATAATAGATGAGAGAAACAAATATTAAGATTTCTGTATTAACATCAACAGTGATTGGGCAAGCTTAAATCAATTTGTTTGAAGCTGCAGTAGGACCTTTCCATTTTGAGTTACCAATACGAGGCTAAAATAATGGAAATGTGAGTTTCGATTTGAAAATGAATCAAATTGTTCAAGCAACCCTATAGAGCAAATACATAATTTGGGAATTGAATTAGAGTTTGAATGAGGTTAGATACAATTACAATCTGCGTTTGGTGGTTCTAATAAATGTCTATTAACAAGACCTCCCAATTGTCGTTCATTTCTGAGCATTCATCTACCTTTACTAATCCAAACTATAGAAAATAGAATGAAAGAAAGAATACACAATTTTAATCTAGTCGAAAGAGCATCTTGGACCAAGATAGTATAAAAGATAGTGTGCCTTCATTATCAAGACTCCCTTCATTAAATAGTCCTCCTAATCCACCTTATGATTCTATGGCTGCAACACCTACTCGTAAAGTATTTAAATAAATAATATAATAGGTAAATCATAGAATTGAATGGGAACATATAAATGATGATCTGACATTGATAGTAGAATTACCAATTTAAGAATTTTAAGGTTCAGCAATATAATTGTGTTTATGGTCTATTTCTTCAAATAAATAGAGTTTGGAGAATATTAAGTCTCCCCAAAAAACTATAATAAAGAAAACAAAAAATCAACATGATTCTGAATATATGGATTTAGAAATATAAGATCATCATTTAGTAGCTGAAACTTATATTAATTTATCAAATATGGAAACAAGTGTATCAGCAGAATTAGGAGCCAAATTTTTAATGATAAAGAGTTATTAACCTAAATCTCTTTGGTATCATGGTGTTGAAGTTGGTAAAATTGATTATGAAATGAGTGTTAGAATCCCAAATCATCTCTAATAATCTTCATTTGGGGTTTAAACAGAAAAAGGAATTGTTTCCTCTATTTCTGTAGTTGGAAATGTAGAAAATATTAGTGTAACAGAAATTAAAATGATATAAATGGAATTTTAAAAGTTATCTAGTAGTATTTTTAAGATTGAACATAAAACTCTCAATATAGATGAAAAATTAAAAGTTAGACAAGAAATGGATTAACATTTAAATCGTTTAGCATAATTTCTTGGTCAATCTCATGGAAGTGCTATAAAAACCTTCTAATATAAATCAGAAGATGATTTAATGAAGGCATAATAATTACTCATTTAAATATCTATTCATTTAGTTGATTATTCTAAAACATTATCTACTTTTAGTTCTTATTATGAATGTCTCAATCAAGTTTTAAGTCGTGGTGAATTAATGCTTTAATAACTTGGATTTTTTAAAGCTCTTAATAAAAAACAATCTCATTAAAAAATTGAAGTATGTTTAAATTATTAAACATTTTTAATCAATACATTACGTTATACATTATCTAAATTAAATTAAAAAGATCCTTCATATGAAGCTAGAAAACTCTATATAAAATTTTTAGTTATATGTTATTTTAGAATACCAGAATTTAGAGCCAAATTCTTAGAACTTATTAATAAACCTGATGATCCTCAATTATCTGAATTAAGAGGAACAGAATTCATACAAGATGATGATCCAACAAATATAGATAAAAGTACTAAAAATAATATATCAATATTTGATTGGTAGAATTATTTTCATACTTATTTAAATGATAAAACTTAAGGAATTCAAAATTAATCAGCTCTCAATTAAATATTAGATGATGAAAGTTGGAAAGAAAACATAAGACATAGATCTATTAATTTTAGTTTTTTTGTTGAAGAATGGGCTATATATGTAAGAAATATTCTACAAGTTAAAATATTGCCTTGGCAAGATATACCAGGTTATAGAATTTTAGTCAAAGCATTTATGTGTGAATTAAAATAATAGGATTCAGTACCAGATGCCATGAAAATAGCTTTGAGAAGTCTGATGTAGAATGTTAATCTTTTGGGAATTATAGTTAGTTTATAATTTAATAAGACTAAGTAAATAGATTAAAATTTATTTTAGTTTATATAATACAGAATAAGTAATAGAAACCTTTGAAATTTTGGATATTTGTTTTTCTACCTTATCAACTATGCCACCTTATTTTGATTATCCATTTTTATTGAAAGGAATTAAATAAATTATAATAGATTCTGAACATGCTATTTGCATTGCTAAATGTATGTGGTTCATCTATAATATCTACCCATTGCTTTCAAGTAAATATATGTTTTTTATAAATCAGTGGACTTTAAAAAAGATTTGTGTGAATTCATTTTTGAGAAAGCTGTATTTAAATTATTTCTTCATTGGAGTAAGACTGTTAGAATGATGTTTCATTATTTTCTACTATACAGAGTTTCACATTAACATAAGAATCCAAAAGTTGGAGGATTAGATGAGGAGTAGATTTATAATGTAAATAAAATAGGTAAATTATTTAATAATACACTTTAATCAATAGACCAAAAAAGAATCAAAGTTATTTTGAAAATAGATAACCATAATAACAATTAATAGTAATTTAATAGTATTTATAAAATAGTCTGATTATATATATATGAAATATTTGAGATTCTTAAGTAAAGTTGAATAAGCTAAAATAAATGAAGGATAAAGAGATTATTAATAAGATTATTAGAGTTATTATTAGAAAATGGTAGCTAAGAAGTTGAAATATGAATAAGAATAAAAATTATTATAAATAACAGAACCAAAAATGGAAATTTTAAAATTAGAAAGACTACAATCTGAACATGATGAATATACTTAAAAGTAAAATTAATTGAAACCAGTTATAGTTCCAAGAACAGTAATGCATAAGAAATTAAGTTGTAAGTATATTATACTAATTTTTAGTTAAACATGATATTGAAATAACAGAAAAATAATAATAATATGTTTTATTATCAATAAGAGAATTTGAAGAATAACTTAAAAATTATAATAATTGGAGACAATCTAATATCAAAAAAGTAATGGGTAAATATAATGATGAAGGTTTAATATTTATTATATATAAGATAAACATACCATACATTTAACATTTGAAGTTCCAAAAATGGATATTCTTAAAAGAATAGATGAAAAAGAAGGAGCATGAATTTATCTATAATTATTAATTATTTTATTTAAAATACTTTATACTTTTTATTAATACTATTTCCATCATTATTAATAATAATATATTAAAAGATTTTTATAAAATGAAATTAATTGTATAGATGAATTTGTTTAATTTATAAATTTGATATTGAATTGTGAAAACTAATCGTTTTTTTATAAATACTAAGTTTTCTTAATGATAGACTCAGTAGGGTAAAAGCAATTTTCTTAGATTAAAAATTTTATTGATCGTTTTCTATTATTAAAATTAATAGAATTACTTGTATTTTAAAATAATATTGTAGAATAAAAGGTAATAAATAAAAAAGTATAGATAATTTAAGAAGAAATGATATAGATGGGATCAGGTAAAACATTTTTAAAAGAATGTTGCAATGAATTTAGATGTATATATTATTTAGTATATATAGAAGAATTAGACACAAATATTTTTGCAGTTAGTTTTACAGAAATGTAAGAGGATTAAAAGAAAACTTAAATTCATTCAGGAGATCCTTTATATTGTTAAAATTGTAAAGGAATTTTGAATAAACATTCTAATCTTAATCTATTAGTTTAAAGTGGTAGTATTTCATAATATAAATGGAATTGTGAATTCTGTTCATATAATAATGAGATTTAAATTGAATAGAATGATATACCAGAGAATGAAGAAGCTTTGTACTGTATTTAACCTCATCTCAAGTAATAGAGTTAAAGCGGTTAAGATAAATGTTCAATAACTTTTTGTCTAGACACAAGTGGTTCAATGTCTACTACCACTGAAATCAAAGGAAAAATAGAATGCTAACCAGGATTATCTTAATAAGAATACGAAATGTTAAAAAAATATATATAACCAGAAACTCAGATATATTTGAACAAATCAAAAGATATCAGTTATGTATCAAGAAAATAATGTCTTCTTACAGCGATAGAATAATAAATAAAGATGTTAAAATAACAAAATCCAGAGATAGTAGTAGGATTGGTTACATTTAATAATGAAGTTGTTGTTTATGGGGATGGATCTTAATAGCCTATTAAATTTAGTGAATAATAATTATATTAAGAAGTATAAATGAGAACAGTTTTAAGTGGATGTGCCAAATAGATGATGTAAAATCCTATTACAAAGTAGGCTGATAAATTAATAAATGTATGTCAACAACTATAAGATAATGGCTAGACTGCTTTAGGTCCAGCCTTAATTTCTGCATTAGAATTAGCAAAAGTAGGAAAACCTGGATCAATGATAATTATATGCACAGATGGTTTGGCAAATTTAGGATTGGGTGCATTAGATTGTGAATCAAATAGAAAATTTTATTAAGAACTTGGATAATTGGCTGCTGAAAAAGGAATAATAATATCACTTGTCACAATAAAAGGAGAGGGATGTAAAATAGATACATTAGGAGAATTGGTTGAAAAAACTAATGGAATTGTGACTAGAGTAAATCCTGAAAGAATAGGCTAAGATTTTAGTAATATCATTAATGATATAGTTATTGGAACTTAAGTGGAATTAAAAGTTATTTTACATAAAGCATTAAAATTCAGAAGAGAAGAAAATTCTAGGATAAAAAATAACACTTTAAAAAAACATATTGGAAATATAACAAAATCAAGTATTTATACATTTGAATATTAATTAAAAACTGCTTAAGAATTAAAAAAAGAAAATATTGATATAAAAAAATTGAAATAAATTCCATTTTAAATTAGAATTACTTATACTAATTTAAAAGGTGATAAAATGATGAGAGTAGTAACAAAACTTATGTAAACAACTTAGAATATTGAAGAGGCTGAAAAAGAAGTACAAGTTGATGTGATTCATAAAAGAATAGCTCAAAAAACAGCATAAATTGCAAAATAAGGAAATTATGAAGAAGCTTAAATATATAATCAATATTGGAATTAATACATATAAAAAAATCCTCATATTAATAGTAATTAAATCAATTAAAAAAAGAATTAAAATTTTTAAAAGCATAATGAAAAATTGTCAACTGCTTTAAAAAATTAAGAATCACGCAAATATAAATCAATATAAATTTAAGAAAATTAATAGAAAATACCTTCTATCGATCAAAAATTTTTATAATCTCCACCTAATTAAATAACTTAAACTCCAGATGAACCATTTATTTATCCCTCAATGTCAAAAAAATTTTCAATTACTCCATTGAAATCTTAAAAACCACCTTTGTATACAGACAAGAAGGTTAAGAATATAGAAAATTTAAATCAATAACCTTAAGTAACTATTATAACTTCTGATGTTAAATCATTTACAAAAGATAACAAAATTTAATCAAATTCTATTACTACAGCAGACTCATAATCTAATTAATCTAAATTTAAATCAAGCTAAAATTCCAGTTAATCAAATGAATCTGATGAAGATTAAGATTATACAATCTTGTTTGGTTATGAAAGAGCTAAATTTTGACATTTTTATTTTTATTTTTATGTCATCTAATAAATATATCGAACAATCTCCAGAAATCCAAAATTAAAGAAATTCAATTCGACATTCTTCATTAAATTAGAGTGTGCATGAATTCTCTGCCTACAAAGAAAAAATGTAGGATCTTATGTTACCAAATGTAGAATTTATAGAGCCATAAGATTTTAAGAAACAAAATGAATGCATAGTTTGTGCTATTGAATTCACTTAAACTAATAGATAACATCATTGTAGGTAATCTCTATATAAATATTGTATTTTAGAATGTGTGGAAGTTCATGTTGTGGATAATGTTCGTAAAAAACAATTAATAAGAACAGAGTTTGTGATATTTGTTATATGAAGGCATCCTAATTAGCTGCTGAAAAAAAAAGAAATAAATTTTTACAATCTCTAAAGGATTCTGCAAAAAAATTAAAAAGACATATAGAATAAGCAGAAAGAAAAAAATAAGAATTGTAAAATGAACGAGATGCATAATAGGACAAATCTTAAATAGACTTAAGAGTATTAGAAAAAGAGACAGAAGATTATAGATTGAAGTATTCTCAAAAAACTTAAGACAAATGCTAATATGAATAACAAGTGTTGGAATTAAAAGTGAAAATGTCTGAACTTAATACTCTTAAAGAATAAATTCATTAAGAATGTTAAGAAAAAGAACAAGAAATACGAGCTTATGATACTAATTTATATTTAAGGGAGTAAGAATTAAATGACAAAAAGGCATAATTGCAAAGATTAAAACAATAAAAAGAAGAATTAGAAAATATGTCAAATAAAATTGAATAAAATCCAGAAATTATAGAAGAATTCATCATCCCAGAACCTGTTTAAATGTTATAATAAGAGAAAAAATAATAGGAAATGTACAATACTAATATTGACATTGAGGAAATTATGTTTGGAAATACTAATGGTAGTAAGGAATCCTCAACTTTAATTAAATAAGAATAATCTCAGTAATAGCCATAAAAATAAAATTCAACAAAACCAAGCCAACCAAAATAAAAAAAGGATGAAGATGATGATGAAGAAAAATATAAATGTAATATTTTTTGATTTACAATATTGAGTGATTATTCACTAACTATCTAATAATTATTATAACATTCCTAATGTTTTTTGAAGTTAGTCTTTTGCATTTTAATATTTTTTAAAATCTACTTCTGAAATGGCTTATTGTAAAATAGTTTTAATTTAATTTCTCAATTAGGCCTATTCCATTGGTGTGAGCTTCTAGGTTTTCCCTTATTAATCTAAAATAACAATTTAACAATTACTTTATGGTTGTGCTTATGATTACATTTATTATTAATTAATTAGTTATTATTATTATTGATATTATTATTGTTATTATTATTATTGTAATAATAATTATTGTTATTATTATTATTATTATTATTATTATTATTATTATTATTATTATTATTATTATTATTATTATTATTACTATTATTATTACTATTACTATTACTATTATAATAATAATTATTATTATTAATATTACAATTATTACTATTAATATTACTATTATTATTATTAATATTATGATTATTATTAGGGTTAAGTTTAGGGTATTTCAATTTAAGGAGTTACTGGTTTAATGGATTATAATGGTTATTGTGTATTTGCTTATTATTATTATTATTATTAATTTGAATTTTATTATTGATTTTGTGTCAATTAAGTTTATTTTTAAGCAATTTATTCAAGTTCTTCCTCAATTAAATCTTTGGGTTTTGGTTTAATTAAAGTTGGATCCTTGAGTTTTTTATGTTATTCAACCATCTTAAATTTAGCATACTTTTCTATAAGATATAAATACATTTTACGCTTTTCTTATTGATCTTAATTCAAAGGTTCAAAATATTGGAGCACTTCAATAGCCTTTTAAACAGATCCAAACATTTACATGAGCTCTTAGGAAACTTCTCCATCTCTTTCTCTGGTGTCTGCATCATAGAAAAACTTATAAACAAATTCTGTGTAATGTTTTTTATTTTCTTCTTTATTTTACAATTATGGATTTTAAGACTTTAAATTTTCCAATTCACTGATCAATTATTAAAGCAATTGCATATATTCCTGAGAAAAGGATAATTTAGAATGATACCTATTGTTGAGTTTTTTTATAGAGTGCATGTAATCGTTATGCACAATATGCTTTAGTTATATAAGCAAAAGTAATGTTAAAAGTACTAAGTTATTAAGAATGTTAGAGCAAGGCTTGTATTTATTTGAATTCTGGATTTTATTGCATGAATAAAAATGAATATATAAAATTAATCTATATTAATGAGTAGTAGTAATAATAATTAAAAAAAGAAATGGACGAAGATTAGAAAGAACAAAGTAGTGAAATTTAAATGAAACGCACAGAATCATAGGCAGGAGTATTAGACATAAAACCACCTTAGTTAGGCTAAGAATAAATAACTTAATAAGTCCCTGAAGTGGATTAAGAATATGAAGACAGTAATTTTGATTTTTGATATATTAATTATAGAAACTGTAAAGACTGAAGTAGTATAAGGAGATTAATAGGTAATATCAAAGAATGGAACTCAAAATGGAACGAATTCTTAATCTATTATTGATTAATCAGCTTAAATTAATAAGCGTGCTGAATAATATTTGGCAAATTCAGTGATAAAAGTTCCTTAAGATATAGAAGCAGATGAAGCAAAAGAAGATCCATAGAATTTAAATTTAGATTTGATAGCTGATGATTATTACCTTCCAGATGATTGGCAACCTGAGAGACAAGAAGAATAGATATAACCATTTATTCATCCAGATACAATTTAATTCCATGATTGTTTTGGAATGGATTCAAATAAGAAAAACAATTTATGGCTGATAGATTAATAAACTTTTGTGTATGCAAGTAGTATCAGTTACCATTTTTATAATTTTGTAACAGGGGCAAATGAAACATTTTTTAGTAGAGATGGAGGTGGTATAGGAAGTGTTGCAGTCCATCCATCAAGAAAGTATTATTCAGTGGCAGAGAAAGGAACATTTCCTAATGTTTACATATATGATATGACTCATAAATTATATAGAGTATTAATGAAAGGAACAGAAAGATCATATTCAAATTCAAGTTTCTCTAAGGATGGTGATAAATTTGCAACAGTAGGTTCATCTCCTGATTATTAAATTTGTATTTGGGATTGGAAATAATAAAAGATCTTATTGAAGGCTAAAGCATTTTCTTAAGAAGTTTATAAAGTAGGATTTTCTGAATATAATGTAAATTAATTGGCTACAAGTGGAATGGGTCATATTAAATTTTGGAAGGTAGCAGAAACATTTACAGGTCTTAAATTAAAAGGGGAAATTGCAAAATTTGGTTAAGTTGAATTATCAGATGTTTATGCCTTTTATCCATTTCCTGATGGAAAAGTATTAAGTGGAACTGAATATGGACGTTTGATTCTCTGGGAAGGTAATGTAATTAAAGTAGTAATTGGAATATCTGAAGAGGAACCATGTCATAAAGGAGCTATAGAATCTATATTTTTATATAAGGATTGTATAATAAGTGGAGGTAAAGATGGATATCTACGATCTTGGAAATTAACAGAATTAGATTAAGCTGAAGGAGATGATCAACTCAATTATTACACATAACCTAAAAAATCTTTAGAATTAGTTGATGATGAAGAAAATGCATAAATTATATAGGTTGTTATGGATGAACATTTTTGGTTGGTTGGTGATTAAGGTGGAAGAGTTTGGAGAGTTGATTGGGAAACAGGAAAGAAGGAAATTCTTTATAGAAATAATTCTGGTGCTTATTTGGATCTTGCTCCTTCACCTTAATTGAATGCAGCCATTACTGTTGGTGATGATGGAGCTATTACTTTATGGGATTATGTAAAGAGTGAATAAACTTACAAACGTAAATTTGCTAAGAAAGCTACTTGTATATAATGGATGCCATTTACAATGAGTAATAAAGGTAGAGTAATTGTAGTTGGATATAGTAATGGTATTGTTAGATTTTTATTACTGAATTAAAATAACTTTACTTTATTAAATGTATAAAAAGTACATCCAAATCCAATTCAAAAAATAATTGTATCTAGCAACACCAATTATGTAGCTATTTTATCCACTAAAGGTGAGATATTTTTTCTAAAATATTCTGATTCAAATATACAAGATGTATAAGCATATTGTTTATGGGAAACTAAACTTAATATCAATGATTTCTGTTTTGATAAAACAGGAACTAAAGTTATGATGGCATGCAAAGATGGATATCTGTATGAAGCTATTGTACCTAATGAAGTTGATAATAGTGAAAATTATCTTTAAGAATTTAATGCTACTAAATATTTAGTTAGAATGATGGAATCTTAAAAACCTAAAAAAGAAGATCTTGATTTATAATTTCTAATGAAATTAAAAGATGATAAAATGCCAGATGTAGAGTGGGATCCTGCTAGTGTAATGAATGTTGCTTATTATGGTGATAAAGTATTTTGTACTGCAGAAGGTAAATACTTAGGTTGTTGTTATATTATTGATCTTAATAAAGATAGACCAATTGAAATGTTTCCAATATAAAAAATGTAAACTTATCATTTGGATTATAAAGATGATTTATTGACTATTGGATATAAAAATGGTTAATGGGATATTAGACATAAAACAGATTTTAATAAATAGATTAATAAATAATCTCATGATATGGATTATGGTCGTGTTCGTAAAGTAAGTTTAACTTTTGATAGAACTGGAGTTTTGAGTATCAGTGATGATGGAACATTCTATGTTTATAAAATAGATTTCTAAAGTTTTTTAATGTAATTGAGTGGTATTGAAATTACAGATTTCTAATACCCAGAATTTACAATGGGTATTAATAGTGGAACATTTGTGGAAGAGATAGCATCAGAAGAAGCTCAAGATATTTTAGATGATACTATATATTCAATATAATAGGCAAAATTATTAGCAGAAGAAGATAATCGTAGAAATGAGGCTAATTAAAAGAAGGAGACAGTTAAATCACGTATTTTATAGTTAAGAGAATAATTCTCATAAGTCAGATAGAAGAATTAGACTGCAGAAGATGCTGCAAAATTGAATGAAGAGGAATTATGTGTAGATCCTGAGTATAAATAGATGTTGTTGGATAGAGTGGCTGAAGATGTAGAAGAAACTAGATTAGAATTAGAGTGGGATAGAACTTTAGCAAAAATGAAGGCTGATAAATTGAAAGCATATATGATAGATGAACTTGAAATAGACAAATTTATGGTTAAAGGATTCAGAAATTAAGCTTCAGTTTAAACATTTAAAGTAAAAAAATTAAGCAATTTTCTTATTGAATAATTGAAAGAGACTTATCGTTTAATTGAAGAAGAAAGAAAGAATTAAGAAAATCAACCTTAAATTGAATACAAAACTTAAGAAAAAATTTTAGTATAATCACAAGTCAAAATTACTGCAGTTGATATGAAAGAAGAATAATAAAAGGCTACAGTTTAGTAAATGGATAATGATTAAAAAGTACCATAGGCAAAATTAGAAAGAGAGAGATTACGTTAAGAAGAGGAAAGAATTAAAAAGGAGTAGGAATTGCTTGAGAAAACAAAACCTATTGAATTGGCAAAACCAGAAAATGCACCAGATATTTAAGAAGCCATTAAATAATATGGTGATTATAAATTAAAGAGTTCACCAAATTATGAAGTACCTGATAATTAGAGAATGAATGTAAGTAAGAAAAGAAAACATATGTATATGTTAGAAGAATTCATTTATAATACTAAATTGAAATTTAATTAATAATTATTAAATTTAAAAAAAAGAAAAGTGAATTTGATAGATAAAATAAAAAAATATAATTAATAAATAAAGAAAATTAATGAATAATTAGGAAAGTAAGAACAATTATTCTAACCAGAAATTGATAAAGAATTAGAAGATCCCCATAGTTTTATGGAAATTAGTGATGAATAAATTAATGAATTTATTAGTAAATTGTAATAACAATAATAAAAAAAAGATGAGTAAAAGAGAATTGCTCCTGCTCAAATTTCAAAACCAGCTGAATAAAATTAAATTAAGACAAGAAAAGGAATTAGAGTATAATAATCAAGTTTAGAAGAAGAGATGAAGACTATTCAAGATATGGTATTGAATGCAGAAAAATAAAGAATGATTGAAGAAATGTAAGAAGAAATCATTCAATTTGATAAAGATGTTGTTAAATGTTAAAATGAAAAGAATGTTCTTGAAAGTGATATGTTGATAGCTTAGATGAAATTAGTAACATATTATTAAGAATTAATCATTTTAGAAGATATGGAAGATTTTGATAATAAATTAATAAAGGAAGTTTTAGATTTTAAAAAGGAAAAACAGAATCTAGAATAATAAGTTGAAAAGATTTTGGAGAATCTTGCAATATTATAGAAGAAAGAATAATAGAATGATAAAGATTTAATAGAATAATTAAAGGCATGGAAAGAATTAGTACATCCAGATGATGAATAGAAGAGAAATAAAATTCATGATTATTATCGTAAGAAATTCAAAAGAGAAATGTTAAAGAGATAGAAGAAATAATAAGAGAAGGAACATTCAGATTCTGAAGAGAATGAAGATGATGAAGAAAATGAAGATGATAATGATGATGATATTGTATCTGATGATGATGAAGAAGAAAAACCTGATATCTCTCCTGTTGAATAAGATCCAAAAGTCAGAGATGTTATTGAGAAAATATGTGGATTGGAAGAATAATAAGATAATTTCAAATAGGAAAAAATATAAAATGAATAATAAAAATCTAAATTAGCTAATAAGATTGCTTAGAATGATATATATTTAAAAAGAGCTAATGATGATTTGACATAATATTAAAGGAAGAAATTGTAAAGAGTTAATCAATTGGATGTTAGTTTTGTATTGAAATTATCATAAGTTTAAAATCTTAATGATTAAAAGTAATTACCTGCTGATCTTAATAAATCTATATTATTTACTGAATATGATTTCTTCAAACTTTGTAAAAGAGTTATTGAATTGAAACATGAGCAAGGAAAAATAACAAAATAAAAAGCTTAAAAAGATAAAACTAAGAAAATGTAAGAAAAAGAAATTAAATTAAAAGATCTTAGAATTGAAGATTTGAATAAAAAGTATGAAGAAAAACATATGCTTAAATTTGGAGATATTATTGATCTCAAAATACTTGATGCTTTAGAACCAACCAAAGCTGTCTTAGATATGAGAGCATAATTTAATTAGGAAGAAAAAGAAGCATAAAGAAAAGTTTCCAGAGCTAAAGAAGAATTGTCTAAAGTGAAATAATAATTATTAGAAGTGAAGAGAGAAAATACAAAGATTTTTACTAACATTACCAAATTAGGAAAGTAATAAATGGATTTAAGTAAAAAACTTACTTCAGGCAATAAATAATTGTTTAAGGGTGATAATAAAGAGAAAAGATCAGATATGGAAAGTGATAAATAGAGTTTAGAAGATCTAGTAAAATTTTTAGGTAAGGAAATAGAAGATTTAAAGAATGAGATTGGATTATATAAAAAGAAAGGTATATTATTATCTATAAATTAGGTGGACATATATATACAAGTATTACATAAACAAATCAAAACTTTGTTTAAAGATGATTTCTAAATCAAATTATTATTAAAAAATCAAACTATATCATAATCTTCTTCATCATCCATATCCCATTGATTTTGAGCTGAAGGTTTAAAATTTTTTTAAACATCATATTTATAATTTTTATCTCCTGGTTTAACAGAATTTTTCTTATACATAGATTCCATAATTTCTTTATGTTTTTTTAATTCTTCAGTTGTCATTTTATTTAAATTCAATTGATTATAACCCATTTTTTAATAGAGCATCTTATATTATTCATCTGTAATTTCATTGTCTGAATCCTCTTCATAATTTTCTTCATATTAATCTTCATCTTCATCGTCATCCTCCAAAACAGGTTATTTACNTCTCTCCTGTTGAATAAGATCCAAAAGTCAGAGATGTTATTGAGAAAATATGTGGATTGGAAGAATAATAAGATAATTTCAAATAGGAAAAAATATAAAATGAATAATAAAAATCTAAATTAGCTAATAAGATTGCTTAGAATGATATATATTTAAAAAGAGCTAATGATGATTTGACATAATATTAAAGGAAGAAATTGTAAAGAGTTAATCAATTGGATGTTAGTTTTGTATTGAAATTATCATAAGTTTAAAATCTTAATGATTAAAAGTAATTACCTGCTGATCTTAATAAATCTATATTATTTACTGAATATGATTTCTTCAAACTTTGTAAAAGAGTTATTGAATTGAAACATGAGCAAGGAAAAATAACAAAATAAAAAGCTTAAAAAGATAAAACTAAGAAAATGTAAGAAAAAGAAATTAAATTAAAAGATCTTAGAATTGAAGATTTGAATAAAAAGTATGAAGAAAAACATATGCTTAAATTTGGAGATATTATTGATCTCAAAATACTTGATGCTTTAGAACCAACCAAAGCTGTCTTAGATATGAGAGCATAATTTAATTAGGAAGAAAAAGAAGCATAAAGAAAAGTTTCCAGAGCTAAAGAAGAATTGTCTAAAGTGAAATAATAATTATTAGAAGTGAAGAGAGAAAATACAAAGATTTTTACTAACATTACCAAATTAGGAAAGTAATAAATGGATTTAAGTAAAAAACTTACTTCAGGCAATAAATAATTGTTTAAGGGTGATAATAAAGAGAAAAGATCAGATATGGAAAGTGATAAATAGAGTTTAGAAGATCTAGTAAAATTTTTAGGTAAGGAAATAGAAGATTTAAAGAATGAGATTGGATTATATAAAAAGAAAGGTATATTATTATCTATAAATTAGGTGGACATATATATACAAGTATTACATAAACAAATCAAAACTTTGTTTAAAGATGATTTCTAAATCAAATTATTATTAAAAAATCAAACTATATCATAATCTTCTTCATCATCCATATCCCATTGATTTTGAGCTGAAGGTTTAAAATTTTTTTAAACATCATATTTATAATTTTTATCTCCTGGTTTAACAGAATTTTTCTTATACATAGATTCCATAATTTCTTTATGTTTTTTTAATTCTTCAGTTGTCATTTTATTTAAATTCAATTGATTATAACCCATTTTTTAATAGAGCATCTTATATTATTCATCTGTAATTTCATTGTCTGAATCCTCTTCATAATTTTCTTCATATTAATCTTCATCTTCATCGTCATCCTCCAAAACAGGTTATTTACCTTTATAATTTTTCATTGCATAATTATATAAATCCTCTTCAGACATACCATAATCTTCAATATCCTTTTATAATTTAGATTACGTTTTGGACATATTCATTGATGCTTATGTGGAAGAACTCATAGGTCTTGTTGAAGATGTTGGTCGTTACAAAGTAGCATTAGAATTTACATTTGGTTTAGTAATTTATAATCTTTTTTAAATCTTTCCAATTAACTCTATTTTATTGATGTAACATAGAATTACCCAGCAATTACTTTTCTGGTATCTTATTATTCATAAAGTACATAGCATGCTTCTTCTTTAAATATTCTAAAGCATGATTAATAGGAGTGTCAGGCTTTAATTTTAACAATTTCATTTTATGATGATATAACTTCCCTGAAGATGTTTACAAGTATTCAACAACTAGATTATATAAATTGAATATTAACTGATCATTGGAGGATCAAATCTGATGGCCAATCTTTTAGGTTCCATATTTGATAACTTTTTGCTTTTATCTCCTGTGTCATTCTTTTTATTTCCACCTGTTGTAGTCTTTTAATTTATATCAAAATTATATGGGTCTTTTGCTGCAGTTTTAGCAAAATTATACATAAAATATTAACTTACAGATTTGAATTATAAATGGGTCAAAATAATTGTACTCCTAATATTCCAGGATTGGAAAACTGTTATGCAAGATACGAATAAACAGATGAAAATAAATATCCTTATTTAGTAGCAAATAAACATAGATTGGCAGAATCACAAAATTCATAAATCTTTGAATTATATCAAAAATAATAAGATCAACTTAGATGCTATTTACAGAATTCTCGTTAACTCTCTTAATCTACTAGACGTAATTATGAATTTGAAGGAAGATTTCTTAAACTTCCATCACATCTCATCTGTCACATTATGTATTTTGTTATCGATGATTATATCAACTTATTACTTGTTAATACTTTATGGTATACAAGATTAAATGAAGCCTTTTCAAAGACAGTTAGTATAGTTGATGAAAAATTTTAACAATCACATTCTTTTTTTAAATTAAAGTAATCCAAAAATGCTTTTTAAACTTTTCAATTTGGAAGACAACAAGGTTTTAGATTGGATAGATGTTTAATAGCAGAAATCACTCCTGGAGTTGAAAGTAGCATATAATATTTATTTGAGATTCAATTGTCAAAATATCATATACATATATATGCAAAGGACAAGAAAAAGCAGTTTGTTACAAATTTGGAATTTTGAGAAAGAATACAATAAGAACTATTTGGATTGGAGTAGATTAAAGCACTGTAATAGTATATTATATATAGATAGAATATATATGATAAATAAACAGTTCCTGTTATCTAGCCAGTCTTACCCTTTTGTGTTGGAGACTACATCAAAATTCCATTTACTCTATTGAATCTTTAAGGATAAGTCAATTTATAAAGTATTAAATGGAATAAACCATAAATTGAAAAACTTGATGTAGGCATTTTTGGAAGTAATGAATATAATATATAATTTAATAGATCCAAAACATATTACAATGTAGCCACCCCTTAGATTTGAACCTAAAGATGCAGATTGGACTTTATTTCAATATTTTGATCATCCAATGAAGAAATGTTTTGATAATTTCAAGCAAATAAAATTGAGAGAGTGTAGATGTTGTGGTAATGGATTAGTAATTAATCGTATGAATTATACTTGTATATCGGAGGGTCTTCTTATGATTCCTTAATTAAATATGAAAATAATTGTCAAATAAGGTTGCATTACTAATTAGGTAAATAGAGCAACTGTTAGTTATGAATTAGATAATACATTGGAACTACGAATAGGAGATCTTTTAACATTGTACTACCTAAGAGGAGGTGATTCTTGATCAATATAAAATATCTATATATATTTAGACTAATAATCCTTAATTATATATGTTCTTAGGTAGAATTTAATATTTATATTTAATATGGAAAATGATAATTTATATATTTAAGGAATATATTATAAATATTTTCCAGAATTTTAAATAGTGTTTATTTATTAATAAAAAAAAAATAAAAAAAGACAATAAAATTCATTTGAGATGATGAAATAAAATAAAGTAATTAATAATGTTACAATAATATTTTTATTGATCTATTTTATCATTTTCCCTCCTTATAATTAGAGCTATTAGTATTTGAAGCGAAGGAATTCTAGAATTATTAACTACTTGTTGGTTAATATAAAGGATTATTTTTTTGGAAAGAATCATTCTTAAAATTATTGGATTGGATTAAATTAAATTAAATGCTTTAATGGTATTCTTCTTAAGTATAATATTTATGGAATGATGAATTAACACATTATACTTTTTCTGTATTCATAATATCATCTCTAATTTTATAGATAACTAATACTATAATTGTTATTATTGAAGTGGAGATCCTTATGGTAGGTTATTCTAAATATTAATAAAATAAATTACTGTATTTGAGTTATTGTTATATTGCTTATAAAAGTTTTCAGGCTTTTTTGGATCGAAATCTAAATTTTTTAATTCTTAACGGGAAATACTGATTAGTATTTCACTCTTTTAGAGATTCTGTTGGTTGTTAAAAGGATAGTTCATAATCGAATGATTTAATTATTTATAATAATAATAAAAGCCTAATATTGAATTAAATAAAAATGGAATTGACAATCTATTCTAAATAATTAGATCTTAAATATGATATTAAGATTAATAAATCAAAAAAAGTGAAAGAAATTGGTTTGAGACTTTTAAAGAGATTTGGATATTCAACTAAAACATAATTCTCAATCTATAATGATGATTAATCTTTGGAATTAGAAAACCTAATTGAAATATATTCACTTAGTAAATCATCAAGTTTATAAATAATATTTACAAATAAATTTGAAATAACTCTAAAGAATAAATCTTTAGGGAATAAGGAAATAATTATAGAAGCATGGGATTAATTTACAAAAGTTAAACATTAAATATAAAGAGAGTATGAATTACAATAAAGTTATGAGGTATGTCTAAAAACTAGTAAATAAATTTATTGTTTAGAATTTTTGATAGTTTAAGAAGATATATATGAATCTACAAATATTTGGTGGGAAGCATATGAAATAATAAAATATGAATTTGAAAATAAATAATATTAAATCAAGATAGATGTATTTGATAATTGGGATATGATTATTAAATAGATCAAATAGGAACAATAAATTAATAAAATCATTAAAATAAATTAGTTGATAACTAAAAATATTGATATAACAGAGAAATACTATCAATCAAAGTTCTCTCCTGAGACAATCTTTTTAATAGAAACACCTGAAAAAGTCATACTTTAAATAGCTTACAAAGAAACTATAAAAAGTATAAATGTAAAATAGACAGCTACTGTTAAGGATTTAATAACGATAGCAAAAGTAGAAAATAATTTATAAATTAATAAATAATTTGATATCTATTATAAAGGAAATATTCTTTAAATAGATTAGAATATTTAAGACCTGAATTTAGATTGGAAATCTCATTTAGAATTAATAGAATAAAAAATAGATAATATTCAAGTATAATTTAGAAATAATAAATTCAATCAATAATTAGTTAGATAAGTAAATCCTGAGTAATAATTGATAACTGTATTAAAAGAGATAGTAAATAAAAATTGTAATATATATTGTACAGATTTCGTTATACTTATAGATTAAAAAAGAATAGATTAAAATTAGTCATTTTCTGAGCTCAATATATAAAATAATCAAATAATAGAGTATGAATGTGATTCAATAGAAATAGATTTCATAATTGGATCAGATACATTAAAATATCATGCCAAGAAAACACACACCCTCTAATCTTTAGAGTAAGAAGTTAAAAGTGTTTATTAAGATTTAATTCCTTCTAATTTTACTATTTTAAAAAATAGTAATTAAAGTTGTAATAAAACATTGGAAGAAATAGGTTTAATAAACTGGAATGTGAGTTTCACATTTTTACCATTAGGTAAATTGATTTGTGAAATTTAGTTTGAAAATAAAATAGAAAACATAGAGTGTTTTGAATATAATACTGTCGATATGTTAGAATAAATTATTGCAAATAAATATTAAATAGATAGTAAGGATATTTAATCGTTTTATGGTTATTTATTACTAAATAAAGATCAATTATTAAAAAATATAATTGTAAATACTAAATTGAATATAGTAATGTAAAAAAAATAATAAATTGAGATTATCTTAAAAAAAATTGATACAGATGAATAATAAATTGTAAAGATTAATATAGATGATCCTATTAAATTAATATTAGAAAGATAAGGATTAAAAAATATTTAAGATATATCTTTGGAAGGATAAATAATAGATCTTAATAGTGATTGCTAAAAACTATAAATTAAACCTCATTCTAATTTGTTTTATAGATTATATTAATGATTAATCAAATATATATATATATATGTAGAATTAATTGGATAAGTTTGTATATAATAATAGAATTCGAAATATATATTTTATTTCTTTAAAAATTTAGTTAGTCTTATGATTAATGTTACCTTCAAGATAGATCAACTAAAAATCAATTTAACACAACTTGTATATCTTAATCAATAGATTATTTCAGAAATTCGTCGCATATTATACAAGTCTGGAATTGATTTATCAGATTGGGATAGTTTTTAAAGCTAAGTCACTTATAATGATGTAGTATTAGATTCTACTAAAACTTTTAATGAAGCAGGAGTAAAAGATTGTGCAATTTTATCTATTAAACTTTCTTTGCTTATTACTCTAGAAGTTGTTAATAAATAATTCCCATAATTGGAAATTAATGTAGATGCATTTGATAGCATTTAAAAATTTAAAGATTTAATGATTCAAAATTACTTAAGAAATACTTAATTTGAAATTATTATTATTAATGGATTAGATGGAAAATTAATGGAAAAAGAAACTTGGATCTAAAATGGTGTAGGAAATTCTATTCCAATCTTATTAGATATTTAAATAAAATAAAGAATATTTTGGAAAGGAGAACTTTTAGACTGGAAGTTTAATATATATTATCCAATTTCCAAAGTCATTCAAAACTTTAAAAATAAACTCAATATTAATGAAATAGTTTCATTATAATGTCAAAATACTCATCTTAAACCAGAATTATCATATTTTGATCATAATCTACCTCTTAATGTTAATTGGTAAGCAAGTGTTCCTAATGAATTAATTTATAGAGTATTATTTTAAAAACAATCAAAAGAAAAATAAATTATCTGTAGTTAAGATAATTTAATTAATAATGTCATTAAATAATTAAGGAAAGATTTTAATATAAATAGAACCAATAAAATTATTTTAATGTATTAATGGGCTTTAGATTAACATGCTACCTTTGCGTAAGAAGCAATACCAAATTTTAGTTTGTTGAAATTAGTAGAAGAAGAATATAAAGGAGAATTTTAAATATTCTTAAAAAATATTAATGAGAATGCATAATAAATATAATCTATTTAATCTCAATATGTAAATAATGATACATCACTTGGAGAATTATCAAGAAAAATCCCTCATTAAAATGATTAAGAAGTAATCTTTTATTTTGAATCTTAAGATTAAATATTGGGTACCAAATAAAGAATGGAGGATTTAAATATTTATTATGGTGCAACAATATTGTATAAAATTATATAAAAATAAAATATAGAAAAAAATACTTTGATAAACACTAAAATAAAAGCTATTGAAAAATCAATAGAATTTAAAAAATTTGGTCTTTTAATAATTGATATCAATATTGTTATCAATATTGACAATTTAAGTATTCAAAATAACCTCCTTGCTTTAGCAGAAGTAGTGAGATATAAATTAAGTCTACCAAAGAACTAAATAATTCAGTTCTCCTTAGGTACACAACTATTATCACTTGATCAATAGATGAATCAAATTATGAATGGCAAATTTGAATTCTTACAAGCTAAATTATAAACGACAATAAAAATTTAATTATAAAATAAGAATACAGGTAAAAGTTTCTAGGTTGATGTCAATTTGGAAGACACTTTAAGGAAAATAAGTGAAAAATTTAAACTTGAAGCTAAATTTTAACATAATAATATTTATTTGGGATTGGATGAAACTTTTTACTAATTAAATATTCTAAATGGAGAAATTATTATATATGAATTAGTCTCTACTCCCAAAGAAGATGTTGAAATTTCAATTGCTGTTTCTTCCTAATCAGTTTCATAAAATAATGAACTTCATTAAGCTTCACCTTTTAATAGTAATGCTATTTCTGTTGAAAATCTTAATTAATAATAATTATAATCTTAATTGAATTCAAATTAAGCTTAAGCAGATTAACCTATTATTAATTTAAATGATTCTCTAATCACAATCAAAGCTTAAGCTGGAGAAAAAGTGTACAAATTTTAAATGAAAGGTAGTGATAATTTTGAAATTCTCAAAAAAGCCATTTTTGATTTAGCAGTTTAAGGAGATGAATAAAATATTTCATCTTATATTCTAATTTATGGGGAATAGGTTCTAAGAGATGAATAAGTTGTTTCTACATTAAATAAATAAGAAATTTAAATACAATTTAAATTAAAGTTAAAGTGATATTTTATTTGAATAATTCATGTTATAAACTAAACATTTTGATAAATAAAAATTTAAATAATTATTAATGCAAGCTCAAATACCTGGAGATTTTGAAGCCTAAATAAGAATAGTCAATGAACAATTATCTATAGATTAATAAATTATGGAATAAGAAACAGAGGATAGAAATAAAGAATAAGAAGAAGAATTGACAGAAGAATAAAAGGAAAGAAGAAGAAAAATATTAGAAGTTCAATTGGCTAATAAAAGATTATTATATACTATACATAATAAAGATATGGAAATATTTAGAGTTAAAAAAGAGATTGAAGATTAAAAATAGTTATTGTCTGATCTTTAATAACAAGAATAAATATATCAATAATAATCTAATGGTATTTATATATAGAGGATAGAGAATCTTAGATATTTGTGAAAATTATGCCTTTAATAACAATAAATATAGTGAATAATTAAATGAATCTAATAAGGAATTAGAAATCATTAATGATTCTTATTTATCTCATAGAGCCTTAGTATCATATGATACTTATCTAAGAGGAACACTTAGAGAATAAGATAGAAAAATATATGAATTAGAATTAAATAATGCAGATATTAGTGAGATTTCAGCCAGAATTGAAAAAATAAATAAAGAATATGAAAGAAATATATAACCTCTTGTTGTTGGAGATTTTAAGACATAAATAGATGCAGATATTAAAAGTTCAAAAAATTAAATTGATGCTTTAAGAAATTAATTTAAAGATATTGTAGATGATATTGTGAAATTACATGAAAAACATTTAGATAATATAGATATGTATTCTACCTTATAAAGATAATTATAAGTAATTTTATTATATATTTCTTTAAGGAATAATTATTAGCAAATGAATAATTGGATTTTGAATTAAATCAATTAAAAAAGAGCAAAGATTAATGTTGATTGATATATTATATATATTTTAGATTCATTAAATCATAACTATTTATAAAATTATATTCTTATTTTTTTGTTTATTTATTATTAGATGTATTTATAATTATCATTTTAATTATGATATAATTTTTAAGATGTATTTATAATTATCATTATAATTTGCCTAACTTTTACCACATATTATGATTATCTGAATAATTCGGAACAGAAAAGACAATCTACTTTTTAGTAACTGGAAATAGTTGATCTAATGTCAATGAAAAGGCATCATCAAGCATTCGAGGAATAAGTCTTTAAAGCAATTAGCTAGATTCTTCTAAACATGGATTTGAATTAATTTCAATAAGCCAAACTTTAAAATCATCATCAATCATAAAATCTAATCCAAATATCTCAAAACAATATCTTCTTTATAGTACATTGATTTTCTTTCTAACTGATTAGAATGCTTTAAGAGAAATTTATTTAATATTTTCAACAATCTTAAATTTGTTAAATATTATTTACCTATTTATAGAAATCACCTTTATTCTTAAAGTATATAGCTGCTTAATCAAATGATAATTGATTTCCATCTTCTAATTTTCCATAATTTGGACTATATTTTTATATGGCATTATTTGTTAAATGTACATATTAATTTAATACATTTTTAGTTGTGTATTCTTCAGATGCCATCCTAATATATCCTTATTCAAAAAAGAAGAATTCAAGATCTTAATTAAGTAATCCCCAAACTCTGATATCAAATTTACGATTATTTATTAATAATGGTTTTTCTAAATATTTTTAGATTACAAATTATTTTGATTTTATTATTTAACCATCTTTCATTTATTATTTACCAGAGATATATTGATCAATTAAATGAGTCATTTAATCCAAATCTTTGATTACATGTATACCTCTACCACGATTATATTGAGTTGGTTTCAATATCCATAAATATTCATGGCCATAGAATGTACTAGGAATTTTAGATTTGGTTATTTATATAATCTTATCAGTTAATTGCATATAAGTATTGAGTTAACGTCTGATAATATAAAATTTATTCTAAGTATCATGTAATTTAATAGATTATGGAGCATTATTTTCATAATATTAAAGAAATTGTAATAAATATACATCTGCCTTTTCGTTAGTGAAATCTAAAACAAAGGTTAAAGGAACAAAACTCAAGATATCTAATTGGTTTTCCTATTTAAGTTAGGCTATACTTCACAATATTGCGATAGATTTCTAAATAGATTACTCTTTTATGATATCTCTTAATGAAACTCAAAATGGTTGACTACCTACTTGACTTTATTGCCTGGTAACAATTTATCATACTGATAACCTTTTTATGTCTATTACCACCTAAAATTTATTAATGAATCATTCTTATTATTTGTAGATATCCACTCATTTCTTTTAGAGAGTACTCTTTATACTACTTAGTGATTATTACCAGTTCCTAAGAAGTATATATAATTATGTTGTAATAAAGTTGGCAATTATACTACTTTATTTTAGTCACTGCTTCTAACTTCTTTACCAAGAATGACTGATTAGGTTAGTTTTGGTTAATCCTTGAGTTTAATATACTTGGATGCTAAAACAATAGCTAATTATTTTGGATTATTTAATTGAGGCATCACAGCCATTTAATTTTATATGAATCTTGTGAATCTGGCTGTATCAATCTGTTGAAGATCCTTGACTTTTAATTAGGGTAGATTCATGTTATTATATATTAAATAATAATTAATCATGTAAACTTCTTCCATGGATTTTCGAAGAATGACTCTTTGATTAAGTGATCATAACTTTAGCCATTCCATTAGAATTTCTCTTCCCATTTTTTGTCTTTCTTATCTCTCTTCTGATTTTGAGCAAACATTTCTTCATTTTTACGAGTATATTCTTTTAAAAAAGGAAATTTATCCATAATTAATAAAAGTAATCATTTGAAACCAGGAAGAACCGTCGGCTTGCCCAATTTTAACATCCTTCTCTTATTTAGGTACTTCATCGACACGAAACCTAATCTCAAATAAAATCTAAATAACTAATAATAACAAATCAAATACCTCATTAAATGATTACAATCTCTACCACATCTTTTATGGAATACTTGCATCCTATTAATGAATCTTTTAAATTCATTAAAATTCAATTAACCATTCTTACTTAATTTGATAATCATATCAACTATATCTGGAGTCTTATTTAAGTTTCCAAACATAGACTCTAAAATTTTATCATTTATTTCTTAAGCTAATTCGTATCCTGGAGTTCTGTTAATTGCCTTTTAAATAATATCTTATTCATTCTATTCAGGTATCTCATTTGAAATTTGATCATAAAATATTTTTTCCTCTTCTTATTTATCATCATAATCCTATTACAATTTATTTAAAACAAGATCATCTTTTGTTTTATTTCTAGGAGTATAATACTCACGAGGAGAAGTATTTTATGATTGTGTACCTGCTGTAGTGTACATTCTTCTATGTTATTAATTCCAATGTTTTTCCTCTTATTATTCATATATTTTTTATTTCAAAGATTTTCTCTTTGTTAAATTCTTTTGATCTTTCAATTAACTATTGTAAAGTTATGTTGAAAATTATTCCTATTCAAGTTTCAGACTTTGTATTTTACTTTTGTGTATTGAAGATGATGGAGAAGGGAATAAATTTGTTTAATGAGATGATTATTGATTTCGAGGAGAAGGTAGATTGGAATTTGTAGTTGATTGAATTGGGGAAATAAGATTACCTAATCCCATAGTTCCAGCAGAATTGAAATTACAAGTACTACTTGTAGTCAATTAATTTTATGAATTCATCTTACTAAAAGATCCTTATTATTATTTCTAATTATCTATTTATTCATTTTCTTATTATGAATTATATTATTTTTCTGTCTAATCTGATATCATTATTAAATCTGTCTAAACCTATTAATCCTTTAAATCTTTTTTAGAATCACTCTATTTTATATTTATATGTAATTATTTTTTTTCTTATTTTATAGAATTCTATCTATTCATATTAATATTTTGAGATGATTTTGCTTTTGATAATGGATAATGTGGTGATAATTAATTTAAATTGGATGTATTTCCAATCTTAAGAACATCCATTTTATTTGTTAATTATCCAAATGAATCTATTTTTTTTTAATTGCTACTAGCAGATGACATATTTCTACTACTTGTTATCTATTATTAATATGATTATTATTCTGTTGGTATACTAACTTTAATTGCAGGTTTATCATTATTAGTTTCAATTTCAAATGAATTTTAAAGTAAATTTTTACTAAGACTATATTATTTAAATTTATTTTCTAAGTTTCTCATTGATGATGGTGGATCTATATTGTTTGAAATTTAACTGTTGTCTATATTGTCATTTTATAATAAATCATTTTCTTCAATATCCCTTATTAAATCAGCTAATTCATGAATTTAAGAACTTGCCTTCTATTCTAATATAAATTGCATCTAAGTTAATCTTCTTGTTTAATTGTTTCCATCTAAAACATTAACTAATTTAACTAGTCTTTCCATTTATTAAGTCTTCTTTTATATATTGTAGCTATCTTTTGGTGTTAAAAATATTTATTGTTTTTATAAAGATTATTCTCTACTAGTAGTTCTAGGATTCCCTTATACTGTATTTATTAAGATTTCATCATTACTACTAGATGAAACTTATCCTCTTTCTCTATCACTATTCTTTTTAACTAATTTTGAATATTCTCTAACAATATTATCTAATTTTTATTTGAATTCAGATTTTTCACCTTCAAGTTATTAGAGTTAACCCTACATTATTTTACATTACATATCTTTCTAATCATTAATTACTTAGAGTTCTAATAATTAGTTATCTTTTTTCTAAATTTCATTTTATGCTTATTCTAATTTATTTTTTAATACCATAATTTCATTCACATATTACGAACAACGACAATCTTCTTTATTATTATTTTTTTTTTTCTTTAATTTACCCTTCATTTCATTAATCATTTATTATTACTTTTCTTTTTCTTAATGTTTTTATTTATATCGTTGAATTATAGCAATGGCTGTCTATTATTATATATGATGAATATGTTATAATAGAAATTAAACAGTATGATCATAATTCTGAACACATTAATTCTCTAAATTCACTGACTTTAATAATTATTCTAAATTAAGCCTTTTAAATTGAATATCTGATATTACTAAATCTAATTCTTCTGGCTTACCCTAAAATTCAATATCTAATTATTTTTTATTAGCCAATGCTTCACTTAACATAGATATTGTATCATTAGTAAACTCTAACCATTCTCTCATTTCTTCTTCTCTTCTCAAAAGATCACTTGATGCTTTCTAACAATTTTAATAATAATCAATAATAGTGCTAGTACCTACATCTTAATAAGTTCTTAAATTTTTGGTTCCTTAACCTCTACATTTATAATCACTCCAAGGAATTTGTTGATAAGTTTTAATTTATTATGGTGTACCCAATTAGTCGAAAATGGAAACACTTCCTAATTAGAGTGCATTAATAAAATCAGGAATTTAAGGAGTCACTAAAATTTATTTAGGTTCAGGATGTGGTTTAATTTGAGATTATGCTGTTTCCAACATTTCTCTAATGAGATTAAATAATTTATCCATGACATTACCAAATTCAATACTAATTTCCTTTTGTACAATAATTATACATTCTGAAAATACTTCATAGCATTCAGAATCAAGTTTAAAATGATTTATTTTACTCTTTCTATAAAAATGTTCAACAAGACTTTATAATCTCTTAACTTAATCTTCCATTTTTTATATTGATATAATAATATAATAAAATGATTATATGTTATTAAATGTATTAATTATTCAAGTGCCACCTATTTCACTTTCAAGTGATCTCATAATTCTTTAATGAAGACTATTGATTGAACTAAGCATATGTTATTCAAACTTTAAAAGAAACAAAAGGTCTTTGGTCATTTATTATTTGATGTTATTTTAGGATTGGATGGATGTTTACATTTATTTAAGTTTCTCTTTATTATTCTTTTTTTCACTCTTTGAAAAAGATGTATTTGGTTTATTCTATTGAAATCTATCTAATTCAATAACATCATCATCAAAGTTGAAAGATATCTCACTATCAGACATTAAAAATAATAAGATTGAAGAATTTAATATCATATTTTAACATCTGAACTGTATGGTATTATTTAGGTTTATAGAATATGGGGATGAAATCACTTTTTAGATGGGAAAATCCTCTACAATTTCTATTAATCTTATTAATTGAACAAAGGAGCTAATCTAGCTGCTGATGTTGTAGGTTGAACTTCTGTAACTGTTCGTTGTTTCATTTTCTCTTATAATTATTGATGAGCTTATTAAATTTGTTCAACTTGTGCCTAATTTAAATATATAATGCAAAATACATCATTTCTTCCAGTCAGAATTTTATCATAGAATTCTTTTAATTCCTTACTCTAAAGAGAACCTCGAGCAGATGTTGGTTAATCAACTGGTGTTGGCTGTTATGTTGGTTATTCAACCTATCTCTAAATAGGTAGAATAGGTCTTGTTGCAGGTGCTTAAGATGATTTTTCCTTTAATTTAGTGAAAAATTCCTGATCATCCTCAACTGTCAATTCCTCTTTAACTATATTCTATTATTATATTAGAAATAAGTAACTTTACTTTTTTCAATTATACCATTGGTACACTTTCCTCATATTTAATTACACTATTTGCCAATTTAGTAAAAGTACTCTTTATTATATTTATGTCATCTTGACCTAAGGGGATAAAGAGACTTTCAAAATCTGATAAATTTTTGTGTTATGATGTTTCAAATGGCATGTTATATAAACGATGTAACACATACTCGTACATTACCTTAATGTTAATCTTTTGCTTCACAGAAGTAAAAAGCAAAGTTGCACCATCTTATTATAAGTATTTTAAAACTCTTACAATTCACACAAAATTAACGTAAACAAAATTAAATGATTTCTGCTTTCTAATCCCAATCCTTGCCTTTGTCATCTCTTTCTAAAATGTCTGATTTATTCACCATAACCATCAATGGAATTCCCAAATTTGTCTTCAATAAACCTTCATGTACTTAACCTCCATCCATTTATGACATATATTACATCACTTTTATTATATCAAACTTATTTTACCATTTTATTTCATTTCTTCTAATTCATTTAGACTCAATCTTAAATCAGCCATCATATCCTACAATACACTAATCCATTTATCTAAGTCTTCCATGAATGTCCAAGGCTCTTACATATCCAGAGCTATTATTACAAATGTATTTTTGATATTTTTGTGATTCAAAATCTGAGGTAACAAATACTTCTGTCCCTCTTCTTCTAAAATATACACATTCAGACGAGCATTCGTGTTGTAATCAGGATCACGAAGGTCTATTAAATTTAAGTAGGCATAATCCACTATAGGCGTAATGCCTTTTTGTCGAATAGCATCTATAAATTACTATGAATCAATTTACTCTTATGAGTCTTTGTAATTTCAGCTAAAGCATCTAATAAACTTCTTTTCCCACTACATTTTCTGCCTAATATTACTAAATTCTTATTTATGAAACCTCCTTATCTACTTTTCTCAAATAATAGTTAATTCCAAACATTCTCTTTTTTACTCATTAATTTTATTATGGGTACTTGTCAATCTTGTTCTCAATAACCATCTCCAGAAGTCAATTAAGGTGATATAGAATAACCAGGTATTCGCAGTGACTCAATACGTAAGATAAGTAATTTGCTAAATGAATTTGAAACTTTTCAAGTGATTAAAAAGACTTCATATTCATTTATTTAGGATGCTGCATTCAGAAATGGAAAAGTTAATGCAAAAAAATTGATCAACACATAAGGAACAGTTAAACCTATTAATCTACAATAATTACATTAAGTAAACAAGGGTTTGGAATAGTTGAAAGCACTTGCAAATAAATAGGATAAATGTGAGATCGAATAGTAAATGAAATTCAAATGTGGTTTAGAATTAGGAGATAAATTCCCATAAATAAAACTTCATATGCTTTTAAATGGAGAACCTTAAACATTAATATTAAAGGAAAACACATATACTTTAATTAAATCATGGGGTTAAGGTGAATAGATGGTGAATTTCTAACATGCAATAGAATTGATTGAATCATTCAAAAATGTTCAATTTCAATTGATTGGCTTAACCAGAGGTAATGAGGAATAGTAATCTGTGTTTGAAGAATTAGTGAGATCCAATCCTGGATGGTAATAACATTAACACATTTATATACTTGCAGAGGAGCCAGAAAATCATATATTTGATATATATTATTAGGAATAATCAAATGATATTGAAGAAGGATATATTGCTAGTGCTCTATTATTTTATGGTTAGAATTTGATTTGGAAAAGGTACACAATAGAGTGGGATATGTCAGCTGATTCTGATGAGGTAGCTTTGGAAGTTACAAATATCATAAATTCAGGAGTGAAAGAGTATGTGGGAGTAAAAGAAATGAATTAATAAAGTACTATAAATAAATAATAATATTTGGAATTAAAAAGATTTATTTTGCAATAATAACAACAATAAAAGTTTACTAGAGGATTGGAAGTTCAAATAAATAAAAAGACTATTTATGGTAAGAATAATAAATAAGTTATTTATGAGAAACCAATTATTTAAGTAGCATGTTCACCTAAATCATAATAGATAACAGAGAATTTTATTAAACCACTCTAATAAAAGCCAATAATTTGGGACATTTAGATTTTAAAGAAAATATTAACATAAAAAATTAAAGAAAATAATCTCAATATTGAAGCTTCTTTGGAAAAATAGATTAAAATTTAAATAAATTATGAAAATAATTTAATATAAATTCCTAATTGGGAAATGGCTACATTAACTCCTTATTATAAATCTACATAATATATCTCGTAAGTCAAATAATGGATACATGCTAGAGATAGCATATTAAGTGAAGTTTAGAATACTGATGACCCTGTTTTATAAAGAGTAAATAAAATGATTTATCAATTTTTCAATAATATACCAACTGTTGAAAAAGTACTTAATTAATAATATGGTAAAATTCCATATGCTGAAAAACGTAAACCACCTTATGAAGAGATGTCAGTTTCAAAAAGTTTGGGAAATGAAGAAATTACAAGAAAATAAGATAAAATATTATTCATATTATTGATTGATTATGAAAATGATGATACTTTAGATATGTTAAAGAACTTAATTATATTTAAGAAAGAGAATTCTGTTTAATTGTAAATTGCAGTATTAGGACATATAAGAGCAGAATCTTGGACTAAATTATTCTAAGCATTTATGGAGAAACATAAATTAAATAAAGATGCTGAGGAAGGTATAATAGAAACATGGTTCCCAGTTGAAGACAAAATTGGATCAATTTCATTTAGTGCTATTCTTAGTAAAATGTATGGTATGTGTTTGGAAAAAAGAGATTGTATGTTAATTGATTTGGATAATTAAGTTAGAGTAATTGATTCTAGTAGAAGGATTATTCCTAAAATTTCTTAGATTTTGAATGATTTAAAAAATAAGAATTAAATCAAAGAGAAAGAATTTATGTATTAAATTTGTATTAATATTTTTAGAAATTATAAGGATTAATATTAAAAATTTAAGAAATCTATTCGAGACAATCCTTAATTGTTGTAATTAACTTAAAAAATTAAAGAATAATGTAAAGATGATGATTGTTTGATTGTCTATGAATAGAGAAAAGCTAAAATTTGGGATTTTTAGGGTTCAAATTTAAATGAATCTAGAAAATATTAATAGCCAACAAAGATCCTCAGATTGATACCAAAAACATCTGAAATTGTTGAACTATCTTAAATTATTGATAATTCAGATTTTTTATAAATGAAATGATTAAAAGAAAATTTATGTAATAACTATTGAAATGCCTATTCTAAAATTATGCATACATTAATATTTTAATTAATTAAAAGATGATTAATTAGATACATCTTAATGATATCGAATTAATCTTAACATTCTAGAATCCAGATAGTTTTGAATAAATCAAGGACAAAATTATTGAAACTAATTAATTTCCAAAAGAAGCTGTTTCTGAAATTGAAATAAATGGTATTAAATACTCAAGCTAATTTGTATTGAACCCTTAATCAAAATTTCCTATTAAAGAAAATTTTCAATTTAAAACAAACATTGGTTTCTTTAATAGACTTTCCAAGACTTTTTATCTTAATGTAGATTTATGTGAACCAATAAAAAAAATATTAATGGATATTAGAAATTCAATACTTACTATAGATTATTCTGTAAATATTGTTCAATCTAATAACTTAATTTACTTGAATTCTTACTAAGAAATTCCATAATAACTTGAGTTCAATTTCGAAGCGAACTTCTATATTGAATTCAAAGAAATTTAACATAATTTTAAAATTAATCCTTTTGAAATGATCAAAGATATTAAACTTATGATTTCATAACTTTTTAAGATTGAAATTGAATTTTCTCTTTCTTATAACAATGTCAAATTAAATGAATAAGATTAATATTTGGATTATCATATTCCAGATTATTCAAAAATAAATATAGATTTATAAAATCGAATCAAAATCTTTCTAAAATATAACAATATTGTTCATTAACATTCAATATTATCTAATTAGAAATTGGGAGAATTCAAATGTAGAATGAGAAAAATTTATAATATTCCTTTAAATTAAGAATACTAATTATTATTTCAAAATAATCCTCTTGAAAATAATCAAGAATGTATTTCAAATATTTTTTCTGCAGATGGCTCTCATATAATTTTGAAATTAATTTAAAAGGAAATTTAATTAACCTTATAGGATTTAAATTCTTAAGAAAAATTTAATTGTTAAGTTTAATCAATTGACTTAGTTTCTTCCTTAACTAAGTAAAGTTTTTTTTTAAATAAGTAGGTCATCTTTTATTATAATAAATAGAAACTCATAATGACTCAAAGATTTGAATAAATTCAATTTAATTCAGATAATTTCATTATTAATTATCGTATAATAGATGAATTTCTCATTTATTTTTCTTGCAATATTGATCAAACAATTTATATAAAATATTTCTCAGAAGAAAATACCCTTTATGATGCAAAATGCATATTCGCCTAGAGTTTATAAAAATAGACGACTGCAATTTCTATTTTTTCGTAAGATACCTAATTAAAAGATGACCAGCTAATTATCCATTTTAAACAATAAGAATTATTTATTTATGAAACAAAATTAATTAGCTTTCATACAAGAAAGGGATAGGTCTTAAAATAAAAAGTTTATAAGGCTTGTATGAAAGTAAAAGAAATAAAAAATGATTTCTAAAGAGAAATATCTTAAAAACCCTGTAAATATGAATTTAACTAATCTCCAATTGATGATGAAGATAAATTACTATCAGATATTACTGATTAAACGGAGATTATTTTATATGTTGATTTTCAACTTAATCTAAAACTTATCAATAATGAATTGAAAACAGAATAATTTAATGTTTAGTTTCATTAAACAGAAATTGTCTCCTCTATTTTCTCTAAATTTTAAAAAGGTAATTTACAATACTATTATAATGGTTAATTGATAGATATTAATAAGAGTTTTAAAGATAATCTAATTTAAAACAACTCTTGTATTTATTATGAAAAAATATATAATTTTTAGTTTTAATTCATAAACAACAACTAAATAATTAAAATTCAAGTTAAATCATTAAACACTAAAATCAAGGATGCTGTATAACCAATATTAAAGGAAAATCATCCTCAAAATTTTTAATTTTCTTATAATAATCGCTTAATCAATTTAGAAAAAACTTTTAGTTAAGAAAAAATCAAAGAAGGAGTTATATAAATAGAATTAAAAAAATTAATCGTAAATATTTATGATAAAAATAAAATTTATAAATATCACGTACATCCAAATTTAACTATTGAAAAATTAAATAAAGAAATTAATAATAATAAAAATAAATGGTTATTTAAATTAGATAATGATGAAATATTATAAGATAATATTGAATTATCAAATTTAAAAAATTCTAATGGTGAAGTAGAGTTAATTTACAAGGGATATATTAAGCAGAATACAATTTTACATTAATATTCGGATGAAGTATCAATTGATTTTATTGTAACACAAAACATTAAAACCCTTGAAATTTGAAAACATATAGGATAAAGAATCCTATTTATTTGAAAAAATAAATGAAAGAATTAATATTTATATTTATATTTAATATTCTAATAAACTATAATTTCAATATTCTCATATAATTTTTAAGCTTTAGTAATATTTATAAAGATGTTGACAATTTAAATAAAATTAATTAACAGTTGATTGGAAATAAATATTATTTTAATTCCAAAATGGGCATTTGTTGTTCTGGTGGCTAGAACCATCCTAAATAAAAAGTTGAACAAAAAATATAAACAATAAACAATGTTTATTAAGAATAGCCAAAATAAGATCAATTTTCAGAATTAAGTGAAGAAATTTAAGAAATTTTAGACATGTATTTAAAACATGAAAAGAATTCACCATAACATAAATCTTTAAATGAATCCAATCATCTAAAACACAGTCTAGAAATGCCTAATACTCCATATTTTAAAAATAATGCAGATTCTGATGACTAATTTCATTTTCTTAGATAAACTAAATAATTAGAAGAAATTAGCATAGTAAATAAAAATTAAGATTTAGGAAGCACTTACCACATAAAAGTAGTGATTATTTACCAGCTCTTTAAGAAATTAATCAAGAAAAATAATAGAAACATTGTTTGATGAAGAATCACAAATTTTAGAGTAAATGTCCAATATGTAATAATGATCATATCTGGTTTCATAATTGCAAATAAGATTTCATTTATTAAGAAGAATTATTGTTGTTGTGTTAATAATGCAATTTCAAAACTCTAATTACAGAATATGAATTTGTTTGTCTAAAAACTTCTGAAAGATTTAAATTCACAGCAGATCAGATAGGAAAATTCTTTGTCTGATTTTATATTATTTTATTTATTTATTTTCCTAATTTTCAATTGTATTGTAAATAGAATTCTAAAATGAATAAAATTTCATAAAACATATTATTCAATCCTATTAATATTATACATTATTTCGAAATATTTATTGATTAATTTTTAGTAATATAAATTAAATGATAACTTCACCTTAAGAGATGAGAATATTATCAAAGCGATTCTTTGGTAATAAAGTCATAGATTCAATTGTACTTGAAGAAATGAAGGAATATTATTAAAATAAAGAGAAAATAGCTAATATTATTTAGAGATGTTATCCTGAAAGTTACAAGTTATATTCAGATTTAGGTAAGAAAACATAGATTAAATATACAAGATCCTTAACTTTTAAGTATCTTCATTCAATATTTTTTGAATTAACTTATTTTTGTAATTGAAAAAAAGTATATATTTCAAAGAGCAACATGCTTATTAGAATTGAGTGTCCATTTGTTTAATATTTCATGGGAGAAAAGATGGAATAGAGAAAAATCTTTTGAAGAGTTCAGATAAATAATTGTTAGACATTCTTTATATAGGTTAATATTTATTTTAATTAATAAAGACCACCACATAGTGTTTATATATTTAGTTTAGAGAATTTGAAAGAGATTTCATTACATTTTCTATCAACATTTTTTAGATTTTATAGAGCTTATTTCTTTACATTCACTCCATGGGTTGATATAGTAGTGACAACTTATCAGAAACATTAAATAAAAAAGGATGTGAAGGATTTAGAATTGGAAAAATTGAGATAAGAAGCAGAATAATATAATGATCAAATAGATCCAGAAATGATGGAATAATTAATGAGTGGAAATTCTATATTTTAGATTCCAGAAAAAAAGAAAAGAGAAATGTTAGAATAACAATAATAAAAAGAAAAATAAGAAAGAATAGATAGAGTGTTAAAAAAGAGATTAGAAGAATTATAATAAGTGTTTGATTAAAAAATTAAAGAATAAGATGAGCATTTCATTAAATTAGCTGAAGATTTAAAAAACCCAAAAAAAAAGTGATTCATTAACTATAAATATAATATTATTATAAATTTATTAGTATATCCAAATGTATAAAATGGTTTATTCTATGAGAATTATACTAAATGATTTAAGTTAATTGTTAAAAATATATTTCTATTTATGTAAATCTTTAGCTATAATTTGTTCATATTAATCCACATAATTACTAAACAATCTAAAAATGATAGTTTTATTTTCTATTAATTAAATCATCACTATTCTTTCTTATATTATGCATTTTTAACTTGTTACTATATTATTATTAAATAAAAAAATTATTAAATTCACATAATACAAAATTATTAGTTGTAATAAAAAAAAGTTATTCTGGAGAGTATTTACTATAAAATAATTATTTAAACATAGAGTTGATGAAATACTTCTTTAATTTAATAATTTAATATAAGATTTAATCAATTAATCTTATTTTTAGGATATCAAAATTAGAATTCTCTGTATCAAATAAAAGGTTTTTAATGATTGAACAAACTTTAAATTATCTAAAATAATGTAATTTTCATTAATCCCTTTATTTTCACTTTTATTAAAACATTGATTATATAATAGATTAATATAATAAAAATTTACACTATGTTTAGAAATTTTATTCTCTAATATTTTTTTATAAGATAGAAAAGATATGTTTATGTATAATGTTGATAAAAATATTTATAAACTTCATTCTTTCTCATTAATCAGAAAGCTGTGAATGAAAGTTACACAGATCTAAGGCAAATAAATAAAAATGATACCTTCCATTGATCTTGGCATCTTGGAAATGTCCTAAGACACTAAGACTGCATCCTACATCAGAATAGAGTATTTTGCAAGAGCTTTGATTAATGAATCTAAGAATTATAAGATATAGTACTTCATGTTCTAGATAGGTGTCATACATCCGAAGTATTAATACATCTACTCTATAGTAACACCTGTAAGGCCTGTAATTTAGATTGAATTAGACAATTATTAAGTTATTACTGGTTTTCTCTCATTTGGTGGAAGGGTTACAGAACGAGCATCTTAGGGTAATTTATCCGAGACCATTATAGTCATAGGTATTCCCAAAAGAAGAATCTTATTTAGTAAATGTTTGACTCGAATTGCTTCTTCTTTGGATGGCAATTAAAGGAAGGCTCCATAACTGCTTTGATAAATAGCATCTACTCTTGTGATTGTACTAAAAATGTTGTACACCACTCGTAGATTAGTATTGGGATGCTGCACTACCAAATATGTTGGTATAGAAGTAGGAGTCATTAAAAAGGGACTGCTTTATGTTTAAGGATATGGTGTGAAAGGACTAGCTCCACAAGAAAAGGGATTACTAGAATCATTACAAAAGACTTCATTATAATTGTCTTAAGAACGGGCAGATTTTTGAGACTTGGGTGACTATTCAGAAGAAATGCTTTCTCCATCTGAGAATTCTTCTTTATCATCTTCAGATGACTCTTCAAGGATTTGTTATCTAATTGAATCTAGAGTAGAATGCTGAAAAGGTGATGGGGAAGGAGTTGTAGTTGAGGATACGATCTATTTTTATTTCTTACCTTCTCTTTAGAGTACAGAAGCATAATTACGCAACTATTATTAATAAAGGACTGTCAATTATTGGGTTTGATTACGATATTCTTGAATTTATTGGATTAGGGAAATTTGTTCTTTTAAATCACTCTTCTGATTAAGTTGAGTAATAAATTGATTCAAAATATCAAGGTTCTGTTATAATTGTTGATTTAGGGAACTTGAATCTTCCTTCAATTGTTGAAAAAATTGCTATTTAGATTGAAGAGTAGTGTAATCTTTATTTTTAAATAAAATTATACCGACACCGCAATTGTTGTTATTCTAAAACACAAGGGAATCTCGTTAGCTTAGATGGACTCTCATTTTCAGTTAGTAATCGAAGAGAGTACCATCTAAGATAAGTGCTTATTGTGCTTATTATGCTGTTTCGTATTCAATAAATACTTTCCAGATGATTTTTCTTTCAAATATTAGAATCTTATATGTTTAAGAAAACAATAAATACCTTTTTAACTTATCCAAAGACAGAGAAGGTTCTGAAGAACTGACTATGTTCAAGCACTTTCCCCTATTTATTGGTGACCAACACCAGAATCACAGGGGTTGGTGAACTTGGTGAGGGTGAATTCTTGTTCATTAAAAAAATAATAATTGATAAATCTAATTTTATGTTTCCTTTTAATAGTCAATTTCAAGAGCTTTTTGCTTTTTTACTGGTCTTATGATCACCAGTATGATGTTTATTACTATGATGATGATGTTATTTGCTCTTTTTTTTTTCTTACTCTTACTCAGTCACATATTAAGCTACCAAACTATTGACAATGGAGATCATAAAGAATCCTATCATAAGAATAATGAAATAATCCCACAATTAAGCTAATAATGGTTTAGTACCTTCTTTGAAAAGAGAAGGATCTCTTAATTGTTTTCTTTATTTATCAAGTAAATCACTTAAAAATTAATATATAAAAGGAATATATTTCTGGATCAAATTAAGTAAGGCTTTGACTGGTTCTTATGAGAATACAAAAACAGTCATTGGCAACTATGAAAGCATTGTAAATTATAAATACCTGAATGTGCATTTTGATGAATGCCTTACCCAAAACAGTGGCTCCAAAGAATGTCCAAAAAGAAATCAAAAAGTGACCACAAGTAATACCTGCTAAATCAAATAAGGGATTTGGAATTGATGCACACAACATAACAGTAAGGAATGCATTTTTCTATAATTTATTATAAATGAGCAATTTCATTCTCTACATAAAAGAATCTAAAAGGATTTATAAAAGATATAATTACTTTCATCTTTCTTTTCCAAGACTTCTTCTAATTCTTCCAATTTCTTATTGGCTAAAGCAGCAGCTCTAGCAACAAAATAAGGTGGTAATTCACCTATTGCAGTACCAATTCCAAATAGAACTGTCTCAAAGTATACTTATTTGATAATATCAAATATTGTAATTCCTGTTGCCTCTTTTGGACATTCCACATATTACGTGGCATATTTAGATGGCACAAATAAAGGTAATGCATTGCATTCATATGCTTAAATTGTTGTCTTAGCAATGTGTGGACCCAAATACAACACGAATGTATGTAAACCAGTTCCTAAACCCACAGATGACATAATTCCCAATACAAGCCAATATAACATAAAATATGCTATTTCATCACCCTGTCTTACCAACTAAACAATATTCATATTTAGATTATACTTCTGAATGTTCTCCTTCTACAAATCTAGGTGCTATGACTACTAAAGCCAAGAATCCAATGATGTGCCAAAATTTACTTAAATATTTAACTGCATCTTTTGCATAATTAAATAGGACTATAGTAAACAAATATAAAGTCTTTATTGGATTCGAAAATAGTGTTGGTGCTTCTACCATTAATTAAATAATTATTTATTTATTTATATATATATATGAATAGAATATTAATCTTAATCATTAATCTTCTTCTTCTTATGCTTATAATTTTGCTTATTTTTCTTCTATAGCTCCTTCTATAACACTTATAACCTCATAAATATCACTACTGTAAACCATCTACTTAAATTTCAAATATTCAATCATTCTATTAACATCATTTAATTCATCTGAATAATTAAATTATTCTGCCAATCTTTTATTCAAATGTTTATTAACAGCATTTTATAAAACATTACCAAAAGTATAAGCTTTAGTTGTTTTCATCCAAAATTAATATGCTATGATCATGTCAGTAACTCCAAGCATAAATGTAACTGGTTCCATAACATCCCATCCCCATACAACATATGTTCCATATTGAGTAAATGCAATCTACATAAGAATGTAAAAGTAAATTTAATATAAAGTTGTCTATTCTTTCATTTCCAATTCTTTTATTATAGAATCCTTCAAATGAGTTAAACGATTCTATTTACTTTCTAGAAATGAAATCTAATCATCAATTATCTGTTTTTATGCTTAAGAATATATACCCAATTTCATTATGACCTTCTTTATTATCAACATAATTAAATCCTTATCATATGTCAATTCTTTATGTTTCTCAATTTCAGATAATAGTTTTTAAATAAAATTGCTTAGGACAACCTTTGTTCTTTAAGGCACATCTATTTCCTAGAAATATTCGTGTAATGCATGTTATGTGATTGGATAGTTATCAATTAAATCAATTACTGGAGGATTATCTACTTTATTGAGAATTATGTAGTTTTCTGTCTAATTCAATCTTAAAACCATATCCTCTGCCAAAACCAATTACATAGGTGTGGAGGATGCATATTCAACTTATTCATCATTGTTAGTTTATTAATATACACCTACACTTTTAACATCATCAATCTATTTCTTGATGGCTTATTGGAGTTCAAGAACAGTCCCTTCACCTTTGAAGAACACTTTTTTACTGTGAAAGTAGAAATATAAAACTAAAAAGGTTGCTATCAAACAATTATACCCTCTTACTTGAGATTAAGGTTTTTACTTTCCTCTTATGAAAATCTCTATAACATAAGAATATCCTAGAAATTGTACCTTTTTAATGAACAGAATCTAAAGAGACTTTTTAATAACATAATTTAATTATTATGAAATCATCACTTGTAACAAAGAATGGACACAGAACCAAAAAAAACTCTGACCATAACTCTAAGTTTAGTTATTCATCTTGTAAGTCTTGTCTCACAAGTGTAATTTATTTTTCATTATAACAAGGAACGTTAAACTTAAGTTAAAGCTACATTAAAAGTCTTGTATGAAATGAGAGAAGATCAATCAAGTAAATTAGCAGTGAAGTTTACATAACTTCAAATTTCTTTGGCTACCTAGTCAATTATTCATTTAATCTCTAAATTCAAGTTTGCTAAATTGTAGACATATTTAAGGATTCTTATATAGGATAGCATTATCAGACAACCATCTCTATATGCGATTGAATCTATTTCATTACCTAAAGATATTGATGATTTTTTATTAATATAGATTAAACATAAACCTGAATATAAATAACGTCATCATTTTAAAACACAAAAAGGATGGATTCTTATGTAAACTCTAAATAAATTGAAGCAAAAATATAACGGTTTTTATTTTAACTCATTAATAAACATATTAAATTATGCAAAGGAACTAAGAAAATTTACAAATTCATCATAAAATATATTAAATAATAATAATGTCGATCATTATTTTTTTTTATGTAATTTAAATAGAATTATTTGTTGCAATATAATTGGAAGGATATTGACTAAGCTTAATTATAATTAATATAAAAATAATATAGTAGTATTGAAGTAAACTCAATTAAGGAATAATTGGCAATTAAATTAGCAAGTACAACCATTTTTACATCACTTTTAAATGAAATATATAGAAAAATGAATTTATATATTTTTCTAAAGTTTTTAAGATACTAAGATAACTGATCTTAATTAATATCAAATTTGTAATAAGGTATAGAAATAAATCAATTAAATTACGATTAATCATATATTTAAGAAAACTAATAAATTATAGCAGCATAGAATTTGCATTCATAATAGTTTATCTAATTATAAAATTATTTATAATTAGATAAAATTTTTTCATTAGAAAAATGATTATTAGATTATTGATACAATGAACAATATGATTATTAATAGTAATAGTGATTTGAAATATTCTTTTGACATTAATATAAACTTGGATAATAATTAAAAAAGTGTAGATATGAGAATTGATAATTTGGAGTATAAAAATAGATCTCATCTTTATAAAATATTACAGATATTTATGAATCTAAAAATCAATAATACAAGAGAATTAACCTTTAGAATAGTGTTTAAATAAAAAAAATACAAAGAATTAACATAATAAAATCAAGAATACAATAAAATCTTATTGCAATTTATAATTATAAAATAGAGTAGGTAAAGAAAACACAATAAAAGTGGAAAGTTTTGATTTAATTAAAAGATAAGGGATGAGAAAATAATAAATAAATCATAATAAATTGTACACTCTATATTTATTGATTGTTGTAATGACAATATTATTAATATTGTTTTTGAAATGATTAATAAAATTAATTATTTTATTAAAGATGTCTAGAGAATCATCAATTTCAGAAGGAGGAGGATGGGTATAATGGTTTTGTGCAATGGAAGATCATCAATTTTTGTGTGAAGTAGATGATGAGTTTATAAGAGACAACTTTAACTTATATGGTTTAAAGAGTAAATTTAATTTCTATAAGTAATTTTGAAATTTAAACATTTTAAGTGAAGCTTTAGACTTGATTCTAAGTTCTGAAACACCAGATGATGAAGATTTAGAAGATGAAAGATTCTTGGAAGTATATTAAGAGGCTACAGACTTATATGGTTTAATTCATGCAAGATTCATAATAACAGCTAAAGGTATATAGAAAATATGGATGAAGGTTTGGGAATGATGAAAGATAAATATTTAGGAGGTAAATTTGGAGCTTGTCCAAGAGTATTATGTGAAAGATAAAATGTTTTACCAGTTGGAATGAGTGAAGAATTACGTACTTCAAGAGTAAAAGTTTTCTGTCCTAGATGTGAAGAAGTTTATATTCCAAAAAAGAAATGTCCTGATNGTACAACCATTTTTACATCACTTTTAAATGAAATATATAGAAAAATGAATTTATATATTTTTCTAAAGTTTTTAAGATACTAAGATAACTGATCTTAATTAATATCAAATTTGTAATAAGGTATAGAAATAAATCAATTAAATTACGATTAATCATATATTTAAGAAAACTAATAAATTATAGCAGCATAGAATTTGCATTCATAATAGTTTATCTAATTATAAAATTATTTATAATTAGATAAAATTTTTTCATTAGAAAAATGATTATTAGATTATTGATACAATGAACAATATGATTATTAATAGTAATAGTGATTTGAAATATTCTTTTGACATTAATATAAACTTGGATAATAATTAAAAAAGTGTAGATATGAGAATTGATAATTTGGAGTATAAAAATAGATCTCATCTTTATAAAATATTACAGATATTTATGAATCTAAAAATCAATAATACAAGAGAATTAACCTTTAGAATAGTGTTTAAATAAAAAAAATACAAAGAATTAACATAATAAAATCAAGAATACAATAAAATCTTATTGCAATTTATAATTATAAAATAGAGTAGGTAAAGAAAACACAATAAAAGTGGAAAGTTTTGATTTAATTAAAAGATAAGGGATGAGAAAATAATAAATAAATCATAATAAATTGTACACTCTATATTTATTGATTGTTGTAATGACAATATTATTAATATTGTTTTTGAAATGATTAATAAAATTAATTATTTTATTAAAGATGTCTAGAGAATCATCAATTTCAGAAGGAGGAGGATGGGTATAATGGTTTTGTGCAATGGAAGATCATCAATTTTTGTGTGAAGTAGATGATGAGTTTATAAGAGACAACTTTAACTTATATGGTTTAAAGAGTAAATTTAATTTCTATAAGTAATTTTGAAATTTAAACATTTTAAGTGAAGCTTTAGACTTGATTCTAAGTTCTGAAACACCAGATGATGAAGATTTAGAAGATGAAAGATTCTTGGAAGTATATTAAGAGGCTACAGACTTATATGGTTTAATTCATGCAAGATTCATAATAACAGCTAAAGGTATATAGAAAATATGGATGAAGGTTTGGGAATGATGAAAGATAAATATTTAGGAGGTAAATTTGGAGCTTGTCCAAGAGTATTATGTGAAAGATAAAATGTTTTACCAGTTGGAATGAGTGAAGAATTACGTACTTCAAGAGTAAAAGTTTTCTGTCCTAGATGTGAAGAAGTTTATATTCCAAAAAAGAAATGTCCTGATGTTGATGGTGCTTATTTTGGTTGTTCATTTCCATCCATTTTTTTAATGGTAAGTATATTATATTGAAGGTATTAGAACTTCATTTAAGAGATTTAAATACCTGCAAACAATTAGACTTATGTACCTAGAGTATTTGGATTTAGAATTCATAAGAAAAAAGGATCTCGTTATTAAGATACTTAATAAAAGGTTACTGAAATAACTCATTATTCTGAAGAATAATTGAAAAAGTTAAGAGGTAAGAATGATCAATAAGGAAAAGAGGATTATGTTCAAAAGTGAATTAGTGTTTTTGTTTTTGTTATTAAAATTTTTAAATCTTTTTTAAATTAAATGCCTAAGGAAATTCAAGATGTTAAGGTGTTCCTCTCACTCATGAAAGGTAATGAAGCATAAGGAAAAGATGCTAGCAAAGAACCAAAAAAGAGTATGAATTTCTATTTATATCTATTCAGACCTTTATATCAAAGAGTCAAAGAAGATCACCAAATTTAAGTTGAGAGGCAAGAAATATCTCTTTACCTTCAAAACAGCTGATAAGAATAAGGCCCAAAAAATTCAATAAACACTTCCATAAAGTATAATATTCATATAAATTGTTAGATGTTAATAAAATTGTTATCGGTAATGGAGGAAAGAAATAATAAACAAAAAAGAAGTAAAAGAAATGAGCACTGATTTATTACATATACAGTACATTATTTGGAGCATATTTAATATACAAAGTTTATTGCAATCATCGAAATACTATATAATTCTTTTTCGTTTTTCTGAATTTTCACTCTGTAATAAATAATTTATTAAATATATTTTAAGTTATCAATAATCTTAATTAATAATAATAATTTATTTAGTTATAATACATTTTTATATTATAAATATACAAAAATACATCATTTTATTTGATTGAGTCTTTTCTTAATTTCATCAGTAATTTATTAAGAGGTAGCAGATTTATCAATTAGTATTTAAAGTATTTCATCAGCTGAATATCTAAGTTATATATTGACACAAAGTAATTTCTCAATTATATGTCTTACATATTCTGGTAAAATAGTTAATTTTAATTCTTTCCAAAATTTGTTCCAATTCTCATTTTTTATTAACTTCCACCAAGCATCTTCAGTTTATGGATTATTTGATTCAAATGGAGGATGTCCTGTTACCATAATAAAGTAAACTACACCTAAAGAGAACATATCACATTTTTTGAGATCTTATGGAATATGCCAAATTTCAGGTGCAGTGTATCCTTCACTTCCTGATATTGTAGCTTTAGGAATAGGAGTAGATCCATGGATTTTAGAGAACCCCAAATCACATAATTTAACTTTGAAGTCAAGAGAGATAAGTAAATTATCTAACTTAATATCTCCATGAGTAATTCCTTTAGAGTGAAGATAAGAGAGAGCTTCTGTAATTTATAAAGTAATTCCATTTGCAATAGCAAGTGGTAATGGACCTTGGAGTAGTATCTTATAGAGGGAGCCAAAAGGCATTAATTCAAGAAGCATACAAGAACAATCTGAACAATATCCAATCATTTGTATAATATGCGGATGTTGAATGTGACGAAGGATTTGGATCTCGTTCTCTTCAAAATATCACTTTATAATTACGAATAGATTGATGGCATTTTATTCAGTTGTCTGAGCAAGACATTTTATTGCATATTGTTATTTTGTTTGTTTGTCCATAGTCAAAAATACAGTACTATCATGGCCTTTACCTAATAATTTAGAAAAATTGATTTAGTAATTTGCCGCAAATTGCTCTGGAGTAAACATCAGATTATTAATCATTTTTATTAATATAACAAATTTCAATCAAAATGCTTTAGTAGCCATCATTCTTCCTAAAATGGCATTAAGATTTTCATCTAACAATTCATCAACCTTTAATCCTAAATGTCTTTTAGGATCCTTTTTTCCTGTATTTTTAATTTTAGTTTCCTATTCTCCTTTTTTTGATTCATCATCTAAAATGTTAACAAAATTAAATACCAATTAATTTTTAATATTCTAATGCCAATTTTGACATTTCTTCAACACATTATTCATTTTTATTACTATTAACTATTGAAGAATTACATCTAATCATATATATTTTTTATTACTTTAATCCTTCAGTCCAACTATTTTTATATAAATTTTAAAGCATCTTCTATTCCAAATCATTACATTTAAATTTAATATTAATTGAATAATAGTATCTATTAAGTCCTCTCAATAATGCTTCAAGTCCAGGTTTTTGTAGATGACCACAATTTGATGTGGTTTATCGTGGTTCTTATTGAGTAATCATACTTTATTAAGGAATCAATCTAAATGCATCAATAACAACTTTTCCTCTAACAGATTAAATTGGATCAATAACTACAGCAATAGATTTCTTATTTAATTATTCATATGATTATTATGTATTGATATCGACTTGCAAATAATAGTATATGAATATGTACCACTTGATAACCAACAACCATATGATGGATGTGAATGATACCATCCTATACAATTTTCCATTCTACCAGTTAAATTAAGTAATTCAACCATTTTTTATTAAAAAATAGGATCTACAGATTCTACAGAAACACTGCTGGCAGTTTAAGGCATTGAAAATACATCATAGACTCTGATATGATAGTCATCTACTATATCGCCTAATAATAGACCCATGACTTCAAAAGGAATGCCTGCTCTAGCATGCTATCAAATAATTTGATGCAATTACTTTAAGCATTTTTATCAATGCTAGAGCACTTATTGTAACTTATTCTGCAGTATCTGGAATAGAAGTTTCTGGTGCTGTATTTCCATGACCTGCTCCAAATTATTATAGAAGGTTTTGCAAATTCATATGAGATTGTAAATTTGAATAAAATATACTAATACTGGTGTATTGATTAAAAATGTTAATAGTTTATGGGAATTTAAAAATTTAAATTATGAAAATTTGCAATTTGATTGGATTTTTGTTTCTTAAATATGTTTGATAAAATTTTAAATATTTTAAATATAAAGTAAATTTTAAGCGCAAAATATGGCATAACAATAATAAGTTTAAGTTGCCGCAGAGTTCAAATTAGTTGTTGTAGGTGATGGTGCAGTTGGTAAAACAACTTTTGTGAAGAGACATTTGACTGGAGAGTTCGAAAAGAAATATTTAGGTACTATTTTATTTGAGTGTGTTTTTAGCCACATAAGGTGTTGAAGTAAGTCAAGTTGTATTCTACACAACTCATGGTCCAATCAGATTAGTCATCTGGGATACAGCAGGATAAGAGAAATTAGGAGGACTAAGAGAAGGTTATTACATTGGAGCTCATTGTGCAATCATTATGTTTGATGTCACATCAAGAATCTCTTACAAAAATGTACCAAAATGGCATAAAGATCTTACTAGAATTTGTGAAAACATTCCTATTGTCTTAGTTGGTAACAAGGTATATATATTATTTTAATCTCTTTTTTAGGTTGATTCAAAAGACAGAAAAGTTAAAGCAAGATAAATCACCTTCCATAGAAAAGTCAATATTTAATATTATGATGTCTCAGCCAAATCTAATTATTAATACGAAAAGCCCTTCTTATATTTATTAAGAAGATTGGCTAAGTATTTAATTATTTCTATAATAGTGATGCCAATTTGTCTTTAGTCTAAGCTATGGCTCTCTTACCTCCAGAAATCCCAATTGACCCAGAATATGCTGCTTAAATTGAAAAAGAAAGATAAAATGCTGAAAATCAACCATTACCTGATGAAGAAGATGATGAATTCAAGTGATGTTCAATGTTCATACAATTATCATAATAATTTAATATAAAAT